CAAAAAAAAAATGTACGGTTCTATTGGTAAGTTGCAGGTTTTGAAGGGCATTTACCAAATTGTAATGTGGAAATTAATTAATGTAAGCGCGCAATTTCTTGGGAAAAATGAAGAAAATAAATATGCCATTCAATAATAATAATAAAAATAATTAACAAAACTGTCATAATCATTTTTAAAAAGTTGCTACTGGTATTTTGGTCTTTTACAATAATTGTTTGGATAATTTGGTAATTGTTTGTATTACAAAAATAATACATTTAGTAATAAACTTGTAATAATAAAAAAAATTCATAAAAAAGAGAATAATAAATTTGAAATAATTAAAAGTATTTGGTAAAATTTAGAAATTGTAGAATATATAAAAAATAATACATTTAGTAATAAACTTGTAATAATAAAAAAAATTCGTAAAAAAGAGAATAATAAATTTGTAATAATTAAAAGTATTTGGTAAAATTTGGAAATTGTAGAATATATAAAAAAGGAGTAAAATTTGTTGCAAAGGTATGGTGGCAGTTACGTTGAAAACACTGTTCACGTACTAAAGGGCAGAAGCGTAATTTCTAGTAAAAGTAAGGGTATTTTCGTTATTTTACAGTGATTTGACACTTTTAAAAAATTTTAAACCAAAAATCTAAAAAGTTAACTTTTTACCAACTTTTCAAATCACATCTAAAAAAGCCAAAAAACTTAATAAAAAGTCAAAAGTTAACTTTTTATCAACTTTCCAAAACACCCCTATGTATGTACTAACCCCTATGCCAAAGTAGCGTATGTAATGAATGGATGGTTCTATGTATATATAAATTTATACATATAGGATGATTTGATATATTCTAAGGAAAATGTCTTGTAGCTCAAATTTTGTGGCTCAAAAGTGGCTCAAATGGCCAAAACGACGTCGTTTTGGCCATTTTTATGTTGTTCTGTACTCAAAACGACGTCGTTTTGGCCATTTGAGCCACTTTTGAGCCACAAAATTTGAGCTACGTAGCATTGTCGATATTCTAAATAAGTATATTTTTTATTTTTTATAAAAAATATGTAAAAAAATTTTAAAAATGATTAAAAAAAATACATAAGAGATGTTAATAAATATTAATTGATGTGATTTAAATAAATATATGTATATAAAAAATATACTTTTTTAATTCTACTCAAATTGCTACATATATTTGGTTACATACATGATACATAAGTGACAATACATTAATTGATGGTTATATACATATATACATTAATTGGCGGTTGATATTAATGCAGAGAAGTGAGGTGGGAAGGTGATAATAGGTGTCAAGGTTTTTCAAGAGTCGAATGAGTGGGGCTAAAAGTGAAAGGCCTGACGCGTGGGTCGAATGTCAAGAACGAAATGAAAAAACGATTCATCCCACTAAAAATATCACTACTAATAGCACTAATGCATTAAAAAAATAAAAAAAAAACAATTTTAAGACCAAAACATCACATCATTAATGGCAGGACCCACTGCCACCTAATTAGTGGGAGCACTAATTAGTGCTCCCAAGCATTATTCATGAAAAAATATGTTAAGGGGTTACGGATTTGGTTGGTAGCTCGAAATTTAGGGGCCCGAATGCCCTTAAATTTTCATATGAGGCAAAAAAAAAAAAAAAAACCAAGGCAAAAAAAAAAAAGAAAAAAAAACAGACTTATCCAAAAAAGGAAATTAGGGCCATTAGGGCCACTGTTTTTAGGGCCACAATTCATTTTCCAAGGGGTTATTTAGAATATCTTAAATAAGTATATTTTTTAATTTTTTTAAATTAAAAAGTTGAGGAAAAAATAATTATTTATATTAAATTTTTAACTTTTTATGAAAAAATGTATATTAAAAAATTATATAAATTAGTGTATAGAAAAAATTTGTGCATTGTAGTTTGTACGGTAGGCAGCAAGGTTGGTAGTGAGTAATATAAGAGATGCTTGCCTCCTTTTCGGGCATTAAATTAGACGGTGTTGTTCGGCCCGTGAGAGCCCACCACGGGTCCCGTTTTGCTAATCGGAACCATTCAATGTGTAGAAAATCAGAACCATTCATGTGTAAAACTCGTCGAGTACTATATGCTTGTAAAAAATCACGTTAATCAAATATCGATAGCTATCTGATCGGATTAATTTTTTGTTAACCGTTAACTATAACACCATCTATTTTTTTATACAAAACTGATTTGATTATGTAGTTAGAAATATCCGATCAACGTGATTTTTTACAAGTGTATAATACTCGACGAGTTCTACACATTGAACGGTTCAAATTATCAAAATGGGACCCGTGATGGGTCTCCACAGGCCGAATAGCACCATTCCGGGTTAATTTTTTTATGCACCATGCGTTGTAAATTTGTACCACTGGCCATCACTTCAATATGTATGGCTTGTACGTGGCGCCTGTGTATGCTTGTACTTGGCTCCTGTGTAATTTATTTTTTATATATATATTTCTTTGTTAAATAATGATAATTTTTTTAACTTTTATCTTTTTCAATGTATGCCAAACCAGGCGTAAATTATTTTTTGGTCAGCACCTTCTGAAAATTAAGGAGTTGTTTGGAATGTTTTAAATAAGTACACTTTTTGACTTTTTATAAAATATAGGTTGGATTTGAAATGATGTAGTAGAGAAGTGATATGACTTAAATAAGATGATATAATTTAAATAGAATAGTGACTTTTTGATTTTTTAGGAGATGCCAAACCTAACCCAAGTCTAGTCACCGGCTGTAACTTCTCATAATTTATTAGTGGTGAAACATGTCTATGTGGTGTTTTGATACGTTGGAAAAAAAAATTAGTTTTTTGGTTTTTTTTGTGATTTTTTGATTTTTTTTTGTGTTAAAAAAGTTGACTTTTTAATTGTTAAAAAAGTTGACTTTTTAATGATTTTTTTTGTAAATTTTTTGTGTAAAAAAATTAAAAAGTTAAAAAATTGACTTTTTTTTTTTTTTTTTTTTTGAAAAGTTCCCAAAACGCTCCTATGTCATCGATTGTGGAAGATGACCCATCGCACAATACAAACTAAACCCTACCTGCGTGGGGAAACAAAACACCAACCCCTAAACCCAAAGTTATAAGCCCAAAACTTTGATCCACCCACACTTGCAGTAGCCAATTCGAATCCAAGTCCATCACTCATTCAATCTCAATCACTTTCAACCAAACAAAACCCAACCCAAGTCCAACAATCAGCCTCACATATGGCACATCCAGCCCAATTTTCTAATTCAGCCCAATCCCATATTTCTACCCAGGCCTCACCCAACCATTTACCCCACCCATTCTTAAGCCCATTTAAACCCAAAGTCCATCCCACAGTTGTTTTGTTTTATTTTTTTAGATTTTCTATTAAACTATTTGATGCGTCTTTTACTAACATTTTATGAAACTAAAATAACTTATGTAACTCGAGAAAAAGAAATTGATTATTTAGAAGTTAGAAACAATTGTTTTTAGCTTTTTAAGGATTATCTATTTTAACCTTGTAAAATATTGCAGCAAACAAGCTTAGTTAAGTACAAATTATTCACTTTATTTTGAATGTTTTACAACTATGTCACCATTGAGGTACACTATCATCCCCCATGGATAAAGATTTTGAGCATCTGATTGACTAGCCAAAGACAACTAATATTTCCTTATCCAAAAATTTAATATTTTTGTGGTTTAGTCTATCCAAGGTACGTAATCGAGTCGATCCATAAAACATACCAAAGATCAATTATTCCTTTTTTGAGTCAATTTTAGTAGTTTATCACAATTTTAACTATGTTTCCATTGGGGGGGATTGATAATGAGTCGTTTAACTATTAGAGATGTCATTTGATTCAGTCTAATGTTTATGATGATCTTCAACTTTAATCCTTTTGTTAATGGTAAGAGTACGCCCCGATGGTAAATGTAAACTATGTTAAGTAAGATCACAAAAATTTATTGTCATCAATTAAGAATGATCAATTTACTCTCATCAATAAGGAATGAAGGATCAGATTTGGACTAGAAAGAGAATTATATCCTTAATTCAGGTTTGACTATCATGAACAAGCATTGGCAGTAGATGTTAATGAAAGAGAATTATGTTGATCTCGATGAGATTATGAAAGCCCACAAGAGTCTTGTTAAATTAACCCTAATCTAAATGAATTATCCCACAAGATACGCATGAACAAATTTTTTTTATAAACATTGCTATTTGAGATTAAAAATTAGATTCATTTTTTCAAATCTAATAATATAGTAATCAATTAGATTATTAAAGATAATACTATCTCTCATATCTTCTTCAATTATCAATTAATTGTATCACTCACATATCATTAAATTTAAAAAATAAGTTTAAAAAGTAAATTTGTGTATCATTTTTTTTATTTTTACATAGTAGTAATAACAGTGTGTTTTTAAGTCATCAGCTTAGTGCCGTTTTGGAAACTTTTGAAAAAAGTCACGTTTTTTATTCAAGGTTCAAAAACGCAAGTGGCAAAAACGCAACAAAATTGGTTTGGGAAGTTATAAAAATGTAAGTGTGAAATTACAAATTACGGCCTATGACAAAAAAATAAATTTCTTATGTTGGGTAAAGGTATTTTAGTTATTTTAATTTGATTTGACACCATAAACAAATATTAAACTAAAAAGTCAAAAGTCAACTTTTTACTAACTTCTAAAATCACTTTCTAAAAAGCTAAAAAATTTAATAAAAAGTCAAAAGTCAATTTTTTACCAACTTTTTAAAACATCCCTAACGAGAAAGCCCAAATTAAATTAATTGGCTTCCTTTGAAACATTAAAACTAACAAATAATAAAAAGGAATCAGAAACATAACACAGATAGACAAAAACATCTTCCTTGGTACAAATCTCCATCAATAATGATTGGAATACAAAAATTAAACATAAAATCAGACACAAAAAAACATATAAATTAATAGAATTTACATGATATGTCGCTAGGTATGTCTTAAAAAATTTGGCAGTCAATATATTTTATGTGCTGACAAGATGTTCAATTTTTTTTTGTATTACTAAAAAATTGTGATGAAAATTCCTACACATATATAACCCCATCTTTTATAACTCTCACTCTCATTCTAATCACTTATAGTGTGGGGCCACACATTTACGAGTGGACTCCGTACACACGGCAAAGGCCAAGATGAAATTAAAGGTTATAAAATTGTCCCAAACATTTTTCATTACTAAATTTATTTATTGATGTCCGCATAAAATCCATATTGTCCAAACCCATGACCTCCACAGCCTGTCCAAATCATCATCAACAGCAAGCAATAGCTTCAACGACCCGAAACATACTGCATGAATTCCAAGTCGGACTCAAGACCCGCCATAGTTTTGGGCGCCAACACTACTTCCAGATCCACGCTCCCTTCTCCTTCTCGGCCAGGGAATGCCGAGATCTTACCATCAAACTTGTTAGCCCGCCCGCTCCGAACCGCTATGGGTCTACCCCACCCGAAATCGTTGTCGTACATGGGGAATCGGGGCGAACTACCCATTGTGATCATAGCCCCATCAAAGTTCCCCAAAGGGAAACACCGTGGGTTGCCCTCCCAATCCTCTGCGAACCGTCTCACCGTACCATCATTGTGAGCCAGCACATTTTTATTCAGCTGCTCCGCGCACCACGGCAAATCCCTAGACAAAACGTCGTTGGCTGTGGCGTAGGTGGGTATGCTCTGTATCGCGTTTCCGAAGTAGTACGGGTCGAGCTTCGGCTGGAGCCGGTGGCGACAGTTCACCGCCATCCGAAACGTTGTCTTCTTCGACCCCGGAAGCTTCCTCGCCCGCGTCACCGCTCGCCAGAGTAGCGCGCAGAGTGACTGAAACGACGAAATCTCTGTCGTTTTGGAATTTGATGCTCCGCCGATACCGTTTCTCAGCAAATTCTCGAGAATTGCGGTGAATTTTCCGTCGGAGACTTTCAGCGTGTCGTTGCTTTGCTTCCCCATTAACTCGGCGGCGGTGTTAATTGTTCCGTTGTCGATCAATTGTCGGTAATTATTGACTTTGGCTTTGAGTTTGAGAATCGAATCTCTGCTGAAACTGAAGATTCTCTCGCGCAATGGCGCATCGAGGGAGAAGGTGACTTTAGGAGCGCCGTCGGGGAATCCGAGGACAGCCGGAGAAATCAGGACAGAGTCGCGGCGGAAGTCCGGGGGCCTCGAAATCCGCCTTGCTCCTCCCCTGCAAACTTCGGCGAATGTATTGAAGAAATTCCAGAACGAAGTGCCGTCAGTGACGGCGTGGTTGACGGAGCAACCGATGAAGACGCCGTCGGCGAGCTCCGTCACCTGAACGGCCAAAATGGGGTTGAAATGGCCTTCGTAGCTGACAGTCCGATCAAAAGCAAACAAGTCCTTGACAGAGTCGGGAACATCGGTGGAAGAGAGAATGTGGCGAATGTGAATGTGAGAGGCATTGGCGTGAAGGAAGTGAACTCCGGCGTCATTGCATGTGACGTAGACGTAGCCTTGGGAATCGGTGGAGAGACGGCCGGCGAGAGGGGGGAAGTGGGTGAGAGTGCGGGAGAGGCTGTTTTTGAGGAGAGAGAGGAGAGAGTGGATGGGGAGAGGAGGGCGGGTGAAGAGGCAGCCTTTTTGAATGTAGTGGCAGGAGAGCATGGGGAGGTCGGAGACGGAGAGCTTGAGGTTTCCGATTATGGATTTGCGATCAGGAAAGACAGTGCAGTTAGAGACCACCAGAAATTGAGATTGAGATTGCGAAGATGACATGATTGTTGAACAAGGCATTTTCACACTCTCGCTCTCTTTTTCTCTGAGGGGCGTGTTGAGAGACTTGAGGCGTGAGTGGGGAGAGATGGGGAAAACCTTTATATAGGACTATTGTTGAGAAGGCGTCACTGGCACTGTCATGGTGGGGTTGGGATTGGTTCATGCACTTAGCTGAGGTGGTTGCTCCCGCTCTTCTGATCATTAGTTTCTCGCTTGGGTTGACTCTGTAAATTTAATATGGGTCTGGCTTTGGTCCAGTCTATCATCGGGCTGGACTGTGTTATTGGGTTTGTGGGGATTCACTATGGGATTTGTTTTAAAAATTTGAACCGTTAAATGTGTAAAACTCGCCGAGTACTATATAATTGTAAAAAATTACGTTGATCGGATATCGATAGCTATGTGATCATATCAGTTTTGTATAAAAAAAAAATAGACGATGAATAAATTAACGGTTGACAAAAAAATTATTTTGATCACATAGTTATTGATATCCGATCAACGTGATTTTTTATAATTATATAGTACTCAACAAGTTCTACACATTGGACGGTTCAGATTTTCAAAACGGGACCTGCGGTGACCCCCACGGGTCCAACAACACGGCCCAGTCCGATGGTGGACTGGACCAAAGTCAGGCCCATTTAATATATATTACTTAATTTATATAATTTATATTAATAATATTACGCTAACTTTAATTGGAATCAAGTCTAAATTTGCACTTCATACTTTACCTCTCTTTTTTAGCTACTTTTCTAATTTTTCTAATGATACAAAAATATTTCTAAAATGATAGTATTATTAGCTGTGTATTCATATATTATGTAATTAAACTGAAAATGATTTGTAGGAAAATAATTTTTTTATTTGAGGACTATTTTAGTTAATATCATCATAAAAGGCAGTGTTATTTTCTTTTCTTTTCTTTTTTTTCCTTTTTCTTTTTTTTTTAGTATATACCATATGCAATTTATGATATTTATGATTTATCACAAATGTCATAATTAGATGATTTTGAGTTATAATTAAAAATAAATAAAATAAAATAATTATAACAAAAACTATATAATGTATAACTAAATGAGTCATGCTATAAAATCCAAATAATTTATTAAATTTTTTACCAAACCTCTCATATAGGTGTGATACCCATACATGTGTGGGTTTGTGTGAGCCTCACACCCATGTAAGAGGTTTAGTAGAAAATTTGATAGGTTATTTGAGATCTATATCATTTTCCTAACTAAACATCTTTTGAATCATAAATAATGTCGTAACTAACATCACAATTGATCATAATTAATACTACAGAAGTCATAAGTAACAGTACTGTACGGGAAAGAAATAAACATTCTCGTATAATCCTGTTGATCAAGTCTGCGCTCCTCTAAACGTCGTCGCTTTACTCCCTGAAAATACAAACGTGAGCTAGTTGGCGGGTATGTGCCGGAAACCCCTCTGATGCCTAAGTCAGAAAAATGGACAAAGACAAAAGCTCTGTGTATTCAAGAATCAAAGTTGTGTTACCTCTCCATAGGTGATGTTTGTGAACTTTTATAGGTTCCGTGTGGCACAATCCAAGTAGGACTCTTACTCCTCCATGTAGAGTCCTCCTAGGATTCATACTCCTAGGATTCATACTCCTAAAGGATAATGCTTATCCTTCAACACCTCCCTCACTGCTTAAACCAAGTGAGATGGTTATATCATGACCGGACTACCATACAACCGAAATAACATTGCCATGCTACACTGACTGGAGTAACCGATCTAACTGTTAGTTTGGTTATTCCTTGCTTTTCCCCTACCTCGACTTCACATGCCAAGACCGAGCTATCCATAGAAGAGCCTACGCCGAACTAACCCAAAACCAAGTCCTGAAGAGGGTTCAGTATACTTTCTCACTTTCACCTCGGTTTTGCATGCCATGACCGAACTAACCGATTTGGCCGTGGCGACCGAGATAACAGCAAGGCCTTCTTGGACCGAGCTAATAAAAAAAACCATTTTACTCCGCCCTTCTTACTACGGCCCAAAGCAGCCCATTACTCAATCTCGGCCCAATTTATTCATACAAATTACCCTCTCAATTGCCTCTTAATTTCATCTGCGCAGCATGATGGGATTACCTTGTCTTCCAGCTGAGCTAAAAAAAAAAAATTTAATCTTACTAACGAGCTAAGCCTTTATGCTTTTCCAGCCGAGCTAAAACTCTTAGCCTTTCCAGTCGAGCTAGGATCACACCGGTCTGTACCTGTCCGGTTCAAACGTCTCTTCAATCACAACAACTGAATCGCTTCTAATTCCTAGAACACGTGGCATACTCTTATTGGCTGAAGGTAGCTGTCACGCCGTCATCGTACTTCGTGTTTTTTGAACAGTCCCGCCCAAATTTTGGGCCTCGCATCAAAACAAACTCCTTTTTTTTCTCTTCTTGAATCATTACATTTTCCTATTCACGTCTTCTCTCTCTCTTTCTCGCATTCCTTCTCGTCCCTAAGGAGCTCGTGTTCTTCACTGCCACTGCTTCTTCTTCAGTGCTCCTTCATCTGGTAAGTTACTCAAATCTATCTTTCTTGCTTTTGTTGTTTTCGTATTTGTTTTATACAATCCACAACAATCTGTTCATGTGTTTTTACAAAATACTGTTTTTGCTTTTTTGTTGCCTTATTTTCTGGGAAAAAACTTCATGAGAACCCTATGAACTTTACGAAGCAATCTGTAGAATACTCTGTTTGATTCATAAATATGTCTCAACAGAACTAGGATACTGTTTATGCTATGTGTAAGTCTAGCCAGACCATTCAACCGAACTAACACTTGTACCAGTAGTTTTAACAAGTCAAAAAATCATCTTTTTTGATTTATCTTAGCCGAGATAACAAACCGAACTAGATCTGCACTTAGTGTGTTTGAAGGCCTCAATTCTGACCGAACTATCTTGGGGCTAAACCAGCACTCGTAGTTCAGACCGAACTACGAAAGCTACCCCTAGAATTTTAACCGGTCTAACAAATCACTTGCCCCAACTGAGCTACTAAGCACCTTGCTCAAACCGAGATAGAACCTGCAACATTTCACAAAGCCGAAGTAGGACTTAACTTGTTTTTATTTTGTAGCACGGTCTAAAGATCTGTGCTTAACACTTCTGTTTTTCACTTTGCAGACTTAGGTTGCCCAGGCACTCCTTTTGATCACTCAACCGAGCTACACAGCAACATTTTCTGACCGAGCTAGCACCAAGCATAATTTATACATAACTTAGGAGTAAATGGGTAAGTATAGGTTTTTAGTAGAAACACCAGGTGGCTTGGCCGAATTCCGAAGAGATTATAACATCCCTGACGATGTCCACCTAACCTTAGCCAAAAAAGATGTTATACCTTGGGGAAACCAGGGCTTTGTACCCTTTACCCTTTTATCAATAATAAAAACCGGACTAAGATTTCTAGTCCAACCCTTAATTTGTGAATTCCTTAGGCAAACGAGAATATGCCCAACCCAGCTTTCCACCAACTCATACCGCATAATAATGGGCATAGCCGAGCTAAACCGCCGAGCTGGCATTAACCTCGGCTTAGCCGAAATCTTCCACCAGTACTCCATAGGGTCAAAAGAAGACGGCTGGGTTTACTATCTTAAGATACGCCGCCGCCGAGAAAAAATAATAAAAGACACACCGGACAAAGACTTGAATGATGATGACTTTTTCTGGGTGTTTGGCAATTTTGAAGACCAGCAAGCCCAGATCCCTGGCCGAAGTATAAACTGGAATAAAGGAGAACCTGGTATAATTACTTCGGTTTGTTGGCATACTTTGTTTTATTTCGGTTACTTGCTCCTGAACCGAACTAACAGTTTGTCTTCTTTATGCAGATTCAGCCCATCTTCAATCCTTGTACAGTTACCCCAACCTGAACACTATCCGCGTCGCACTTCGTTTTCCTGAAAGAAGTTGGGCCAAACTTCTAAATTTCGAACCGACATACAGATACAGCGACCGCCGAAAAGCCAGAGTAACTGACTTTTTGTTGGAGGACGCCCCCGAACCGGACCCAGCCTTGCCACAAATTATACTAATCCCACTGACTGCTGAAGAAGAGATGGCCAAAAGGAACAGTCTCAGGGCTCTCTTGACCGAGACTAACAGGGCCGAGGTACCACCACCAAACCAAACACAAGAAACCGTGGTGGCCCTACCATCACAACAACCCTTCTCATCACGCCGAACTAAGCGCGCCCGTAGTACCCAGGCCGAACAACGCTTAGTCGATGAAGACGAAACCACTCTGCCACCAAGCCCTCCACTGAGCTTGCAACCGGAGCACGCCGACCTAGCCAGCTCTTCCAAATGGGCACCCAAACTGACTTTCCAGAACCGTGATATTCAGGACACTGATTCAGTTGTTGCTGAAAAAGACCATTTGATGGCTTTTAACCTTGCCAAGAGTGTGTGCCTCCCAGCTGACATGGAGCACCACAAGAACTTGACCGAGCTGAAAGCCATCCGCTCGGCCACGAAATCCATGATCCTGGTAAGTTGTTCTTCTTGTCTCTCTAAATATCACTAACTTTCTGTTCGGTTTTAACTTTAGTTTCTTTTTCAGGCCGTGCAAAAGGGCCAAATTGCGCATAAAAAGGTGTTGGAACTCAGGAGCACAGCAAGGCAAGCCATGGCAGAGGTTGAAGCAAAAACAACCGAGCTGAAGGAGTCCCACCAGAAAACGGCCGAGCTAGAGGCCGAGGTAGCTCGTCTGACCAGACTAGTTACCTCGGCCGATGCAGACAAGCAAAAGGCCCTAGCTGTGATGAAGGATAAGTACCTTCGTGAGCTAGTCAAGCTCGAAGGTAAGAAGGATGTCGAGATAACGGAGCTGAAGAAGAAGGCAGAAGACGCCAAGCTCCGAGGTTTCAAAGAGGGCGAAGCCCTTTATATCAAACAATGTGAAGCAGTAAAGGATTTATTCTTCAAGTGCGGCTAGAGAGGTGCTGTGGAGCAGCTCGGTTGTGGGCCCGACACCGAGGTCTACAATGCTCCTCAGTACTTCATTCCGGCCTCACTAGCGGAGTATGCTGCC